GAGTTGAATCAGGTGTGTTTGATTAGGGAGACATACAAAATGTGCAGTGTTGGGGGGCGCTCAGGACCAGGGTTGAGAAACACTGCTCTAGATTCTCCATAATGACAAAACAAAAACCAGAGTTTAGATAATCAAAATAGCCAAGACAACACAAGTGTAGGGACAACTCTGTGAATGTCCATAGATGTCCCAGTCAGAGCCTGGATTTGAACCCAATCTAACATCACTGGAGAGAACTTAAAATGGCCATCCATCAAGGTTTGGAACAATACCTGTTTTTGAGAAGGCTCTTTGTAGCACTTCATTTAAGTTCTGCTGCAGTGTAATGTTAAGGCTTTTGTATGTAGCCAGCTCTGCAACCAGATCCTCTTTCTTCTTTTCTAATTCAGCTAATCTTTAGTGTTGTAGAGAACAAGAAACCGAAAAAAAGTTGTTCTCATCAGATTTTCATACTAAGACTCTGAAATTTATCATATATTTTCATTATTAAGAATTTCTTATTATAGGCTATGTTTGTAAACAAATGGAAATTGTTAATTATTCATAAACTCTTACTTATGTTTGAATTCTTCCAGCTCCTCCTGTAAGTCTTGCTTTTGTTTCTTTATGTATCGGTATTTTCTTTGCAAATCCTCATATGTTTTTTGAGGTACAACTCCTCCATCATCTTCGTCTTCACTGTCAGAAAACTCCTCTCTCTTTTTGGGGGGGTCTGTTTCAAAAAGTGGGGCTTCTCTCTTTCTTGCCTTTCTTTCTTCAAGAATTTTCAGAAGGCTTTTTCTTTTTTCAGACGCTTCAATAGTCTTCAGTGTTTTCTGTAAACTGTAAAGCATGATAAAAATTTAATAAATATGTTGTACAAAATTGTAATAAATCATCAGCTTTCGATAAACGATAAATTGTCAAATATTTAAAGGTAGAGGTCACCAAAAAATACAGCTATATTATATTTGAACGTTAAGGACTGATGGACTTAATCACTATTTGCTTTCAATAATAACAACAAAAAAATGGATGATAATGTTTTAATACTTTTTAATATATTTTAATATATTTAAAGTTATAACAAATAAGTAGGCCTAAAATTCAGAAATATAAGTGTTGCCATAAGTGTTGATAATTTAATTAAAAGTAATTACGAATGTATTAAAACTATTTAAACTATTTAAAATAAATGATATATACAAAACCTGCAGCGATTCAGATGGACTGCCATAGTGAGTTAAGAGAGTTAAGAGATTACCGGAAGTTACTAAACGGTGAGCGCAAGGAGGGTAACTTAAACGTCCATCCATGAGGTAAGTCATTAACAGGTTTAGAAAATCAAAATAAGCTTTTAACAAATAACGTTACGTTTTTCTTCTTCAGTGCTCCTTTTTCTTTCTCAGCTGCCGTCTCGTTCCTCGTATCATCCTGGTGAACGTTAAGGATTTTAGCCGTTCGTATCCGCTTGGATGGGTTGGCTAATTCCTCCTCCATCTCTTCACGGGTCTCTGGAGGTGGTAAATTAAACCACAGATAATGTAAGTAACGTTAAATAATGTAGCGTTAGCGCAAACAGACATTTTTACGTCAGTCGAACTCAAAATTACTTCATCGAAACGTACCTTTTATCAGAAGTACCTGAGCTTGATAATATGTGCTTTCCCAGCGAACAAGATACAAAAAATCCTGTTTATAATTTTTAGGGTCAAATCTTTTAATGTCTTCTATGGGAACGACGTGTTTGTGCCCGTCCGAATACCGCACATAGGCAAACATTTCTGAGGTAAAATACCGTTATTTTTAAAATCCTGTTGGCACGAGAGCCCTCTTTTATGACCTCAGGTTGGTAGCACGCGCACGGTTATCACCCAAACCTGTTTCAATTAAATAAATAAATAATAAATGTTATATATATATATATATATATATATACATATATACAATAAAGCAGACTTTGACTTTGATATATATATATATATATATATATATATTTTTTTTTTTTTCTTCTTTTTTACAATCATTACAATTAAATCAACTTTCTCCAGATTAAACGCACAGGTGAATTTTGAAACTACTCCTTTTTCTAATCTTCTTACTACACTGAGGCCCTATGTAAGTTATAAACTGTTACAGTAGTACATATTTTCAAAGCCCTTATATTGTTTTATAGGCGGGAGATCCATCATGGGCAAAAACCTCACATTCATACCAGACCCCTGCTGACATGGTATGGTACCCTTCTGAAGCTTCTTTGGTCCTAGATGAGTTGAGTTTAGACTCAGAGGTCGCCAAAATTATGGATTCATAATTTTTCATAATTATAATCATTAAACAACTGAATAATTGGTTAAATTCTTTAGTGGTAGTATGCTGACAGCAAGCTGTTTTTAGCTGCCAAATACAGCCATATACATTTAGATAGAAGATCAGCCACCAAACCATTTTAAGAAATATTATGAATATTGCTCTGTAGATTTTGCATATTGTCCATGATTAATTAATGAATTAATGAATGTATTTTTAGGTAGAAGCTATTTCAGGCACAAGTAAGGCCCTTTTGCTTGCAGACCAGACCTATTCGGATGAGTCCTCTTTGGAGGTAAATAAATTCTCTTCAGATTCAGAGGAAGCTACACTATACTATAGAGTAACAACACCAATAATTAATTAAATGTAATAAACACCATATTTCGCTACTGGATATTAATGGTTTTTGTATTGCTTCAAAGGTAGAAGGCACCTCAAAGACAAACATCGCCTGCTCATACTCATGCCAGGCCAAAACTGACATATGATGCACTTTTCCAACTTAATGAGTTGGCTTCAGACTCAGAGGTAGTATATAGTATTAATTTAGTTATGAGAAAAAAGGTCTGAAATAATTTGCTTACAGATGACACTTTGTTTGGTATTTTGTTTTCGAATGCATGTAAATTCATAGATTGCAAGTGTCACATTTTTTTAGACATACATAAGGAACATCACATTTTAACAATCACAATCTTTTTTACAAACACAAACATCACAATTCTTTTTTAGGTGGAAAGCATTATGGAGACAAACACAGCCCTTTTGGTTACAAACCAGACCTGTTCAGATACAGATGAGTCCTTTTTGGACATAAATGAGTTGTCTTCAGATTCAAAGGTAGTTATACTATATCCTACTGATCTCTGTGTGATTATAAACTGCCATCAGGTGGTGAAGTGATAAAAGTGATTGAGTAATCATATTGCGATTCCCATCTGCAAAGAGGGCATCAATTACCGATGACCAATACTGTGACCTTAAATGCCCTAGTGTGCAGAGTGTAAGTCGGACAAGTTTAGTTCTTAGTATAATGTTTACGGTTATTTTGCACAGGGTAAGTGAAATATAAAAATTATTAAGATGGATGTGTCTACTGCACTGCACTGCAAGTCCCACTGATATGCTTTGAAAGTGCCTTGAGTTATTCAGTGTGTTAATGTAATTTCCACTGAAACAGGAAGTTATGGACAATAGTCTTCATGTCACATCCCAGTAAAGGTGTAGGTGACAGCCACAGTTGAATTAAAAATATTTAATCTTTTTTAGTAAGTGTTTTATTTAAAACAAAGTCTATAGAAATACAAAGACAGTTCACTCCTATACTTATAAATGGGAGAAACTGCAACGCGCAATATGGCGGGATAGTCCCGCCTTCTAAATGAAAGAGACAAATTTCCCATAGAAACCTGACTAGACCAGCCAATGCACATGCGCAGTCATAAGTACGTTATGACTCCGCATGCGCATTGGCTGGTCTAGTCTGAAAAATAAGCTTTTTAAAAGCTATGATGGGAGTACTACACTCAACCAACACCAGGGAAGGCAGTTTTTGTCAGAGCCCTTGTTATTCTTAATTTTGACATTCATTTTCATTTTTACACCAGACATATATATCGGTTCAAAATATCGGTTATCGGTCTACTTGATCTGTAATAATCGGTATCGGCATCGGCCTTGAAAAACACATATTGGTCGACCCCTAGTCATAAGTCTCGTCTCGAGAGTTTAGCTCCGCGTATGTCATAAAAATATAATGGTTTTTGTTCGGGAGCTTTTATTAAAATATAGAAATGATCATTCTTTCTAAATGTGATGTATACTGTGACTACAAATAAACAGGGACAGACTCGACTGAATAAGTACGTAGGCTATGTTCATACCGCTTTATTTCTGTGTTACTAATTTTCAATCCTGATAAATTTATTCATTATCAATCCCAGCCGGCATTTCAACGTTGATTCACCGGTGAATCAACGTCGGTACCATGGTTGAATCAACGTTGGATTATGTTTCGAGCGACGTTGTTTCACCGTTGAAATCGCGACGTTGTTTCACCGTCTTACCTTCAGCATGGGTGAATTAAGGTTGTTCTGTAGACGTTGGATTAACGTTGAATTAGGTGTCGATTTTGCAGATTGGATCAACATTTATATTGTGATGTTGTTTCACCGTTGAAATCGCGACATTGTTTCACCGTCTTACCTTCAGCATGGGTGAATTACAGGGGTTAAAGCAAAATAAAAAATCCTGAACTTTTTTCCGGGGGTGGGGGCAGGGCTGGACTGGGACAAAAAAATCAGCCCTGGCATTTTTTGGTCCAGGCGGCCCATCACCAGTATATATTTCCCTTTCAGTCAGTCACGTTCGACGTTACGTCAGTCGTGACTGACAAATTGGGATCTCTCCCGAGAGCCCA